TATTTAATGTGTGTGCATTAAACTTTGGGATGTAGGGCTTGAGTTGGAAGTTGCCATTGGCCCGTTGTCTTCTCTGCCGTTTACTAAAATAGTGACTGATGTGGTTGTACTTTTTAACTTGATTTTTCTGTCCGACTCTCACCCACCCCCTCTCCACAACTGTTAACTCCCTCATCTATCAAAAAATCTATCTAAACTCAGCCTTGAATAAATTTAACAACTCAACCTCCACTGTTCGTTGGGCAAAAGAGTTCCACGGACTAATAAATTCTCCTCACCATTCCAATATTTACAGCACAGGAGGATTATATTTGATCCATCATATTTGCGATGGTCAACAAATCTGACTGCACTAATACCATTTTCCAGCTGTTGGCCCATTGCCCTGGAGGCAATGGCAGTGCAAGTGAATATCTGAATATTGCTTAAATTTCACGAGTTTCTGACTGGACCATTTTTTCCAACATGAAGTTCCAGTCTCCCACCATTTGCTTAGTGAAAATATTTTTCCTCAATTTTTTTTGTCATCTACCTTTTACCTTTATTATAAGATTTTCACTGTATTTTATTGTATTTCACTATAAAATACACGTGACAATAAAATCATTTATTCATTCAAATCTATGCCCCCTGATTGTTCACTCCCCTACCAGTGGAAAAAGTGCATTCCTATCTTTCTTCGTAATCTTATACCCCTCTATCAGGTCACCTCAACCTTCACTGCTCCAAGGAAAACAATCCCAACCTATTCGTCTTTTTTTCATAGCTCAGACTTTCCAACCCAGGCAGCATCCTGGTAAATCTCCTCTTTAGAGCAGTCATGTGCTTCCTATAATGTGGTGATCAGAACTGCACATAGTACTCAAAATGTGACTAAACCAGCATTTTATACAGTTCCTATACTGTTTTACATAACCTTCCTGCTCTTGCATTTTAGGCCTCAGCTAACAAAGGCAAGTATCCCATATGCCGCCTTAACTACCTCAGCTGCCTTCAGGAATCTCTGGATATGTTCACCCTCTGATCTTCAGTACTTTCCATGGTCCTGTCATTCATTGTATAATCCCTTGCCTTGTTAGCCCTCCCAAATGCATTGCGCCTCATATTTTTTGCATTGAATTCCACCTGCCATTGATCTGCACAGCTGACCAGTCCATTGATGTCCTCCTCCAGTTTACAGCTATGTCACTGTTTACCAATCTTTCCTTCATCCACAAACCTCTTGATCATACACATTATGTTTTAGTTCAAGTCATTAACATACATCACAAACAGCTAGGGCCCCAGCACCATGTCCTGCAGCACCTCACTGGAAACATGCTTCCCATCTCGTGCATACCTGCCCCGTTGCCCTCTGCTTCCTGCCTCTTGGCCAATTTGGAATCCAATGTATCACTTTGCCTCGAATCCTATGGACTCTTACTTTCTTGACCAGTCTGCTATGAAGCACCTTTTCAAAAGCCTTGCTAAAGTCCACGTAGATCATATTGAATGCATTACTTCAATAACACTACTGCTTACTTTCTCAAAGGATTTGATGCACTGGTCAAAAGATTTTCCCTTAACAAATGTATGCTGATTATCCCTGATTAGTCAGTGTCTGTCTAAGTGTATATAAATTCTGTCCCTCCTAAATAACTTGCTTACCATCAAAGTTAGACTGATTGGTAAGTAACTTCTTGGTATCCCTTCCTCCTTTTTAAAGTAATAAGCGACAACTGTCTCCTAGTTCAAGTTACCCCTAAAAGGGGAGACAATTTCTCAGAATCCACCATGTCAAATCTGCTTTTTTTTTAGTTAGAATGCAATAGCACGTGATGAGAAGCCTTAACGTGCTCCTTTAAAACCCTTGAATTTAATTGGCGCACAATGGTAGGTTTCAAGCTAAACTCTTCAGCGTTGGATCCAAAAAGAATAGTTAACTAACGTTCCCAGCTTTATACCCAGAAACTGGTGTTTGCTTCTGAAAAAATTTAATTTGTTAGACAAATTTTTTTCCCATCTTGTAAGTATCGAACACTGGATGGTTAATAACCTCCCTCCTCAATAATAGCCTTTGAATTTGCAGGAATGCAATGAGAAACTTGCTTCCTTATGGATCAACTCCAAGGTATGGAATAGTGCAATTACTACAGATGCTGGAAATTTGAAATAAAAATAAAATCCTGGGAATATTTCAAGAAGAATCATACTAAACTTGAAATGGTAACTTTTCTTTTTCCTTGACAGAAAGTGCCACATCAGGGGCATTTTTATTCTGGACAGGTAAATTTCCCCTACACTTGAAATGCTCAAACTAGTACTTGTTTTGAAAGAATCACAGGAAGCCCCTTCACCCTCCTTTAATTTCAAATTCTTGAAGAGACTACTTGCTTTCTGCTAAATTACAGATGTACATGAAGAATTGACCTTCAGTCCAAACCTGTAGTGTTTGTTCCATTCTCTATACCACATGACTGCAACAATTGTAACCTTGTGGCATGTAAAGGATTTGCACTTTGACCACTGAACTTTATTTTATCCCGATTTTTCTGAATTACACATGGTAGATTCTGCAGAGTTCACGGAGTTAGCATTATCAGTCGTGCAATCCCCTTACTTACGGCATCTAAGCACACTAAACTTTACTTACAGATTAACAGTTTTCCTTCTAGCAACTGGGGAAATTGAAGTATACTTTTGCTTAGACATGATTAGAGTTAGTTTTTTTTTAAGTAGAGCTCTTGCGGTAAAATACTGTACAACATAACAAATGCATAATTTTCCACAGAACCAAGTTTGGAACTAGTAATGTCTGAATGGCATATTGGTACACTTCAGAATGATTTTTCAAAAGTATCGCTAAAAAACGGTGTGGGGAGTTCTTGTAGCGTAGAGACTGAAATAAAAGTGGTCATGGAAACACAGGAAAGTAGAAGATAGGAGCAGGTTTTGGCTTGTTTTCTCTTTATTTCCCTTTTAAATAGTGGGGTTATATTAACTGCCCTCAAATCTGTAAGAACTATTCCAGAGTCTAAAGAATCTTGGAAGATGACCACCATTGCATCCACTATTTCTAGGGCCACTTCCTTAAGAATTCTGGCATGTAGATTATTAGGCCCTGGGGATTTATCAGCCTTCAACACCATTTCTGTACAAATACAAATTTGCTTCAGTTCCTCCCCTTGAGTGACTCCCCTGTTTCCCATCATTTCTGGTACATTATTCATTTCCTCCATTGTGAAGACATAAGTGAAGTATGAATTTAGTTTGTCAGCTATTTCTTTGTTTCCCATTATAAATTCTCCTGTTTGACTGGTAGGAATCTACATTAGTTTTCACCAATCATTTTCTCTTAGAGAAACTTCTGCAGTCAGTTCTGTGTTTCCTTTACTCTCATACTCTGTTTTCCATGGAATAGTACAGCACAGGAACAGGCCCTTTGGCCCACCACAACTGTGCTGACCATGATGCCATTCTAAATTAATTCCATTTGTCAGCACATGGTCTGTATCCTTCAATTCTCTGCCTTTTCATATGAATGTCTAAATGCCTCTTAAACATTGCTGTCATATCTGCATCTACTACATCCCCTGCCTTCCAGGCAACTACCACCCTCTGTTTTTTTTAAAAAAATTGTCTCCCACATCTTTTAAACTTTATACCCCCTACTATTTGATATTTCCACCTGGGGGTAGAAAGATTCCGACTCCCCTTCTTAATCAATCCCATGGTCCCCCTTTGCTGACTTCTAAATTGTTCCCAATCTTCAGGTTTGTTTTTTTTTGTCAAATCATTTGGTGTTTTTGCATCTAATACTGTCTCTAACTTCCCTTGAGCCATGGTTTGGCCATTGTTCTCTTTGCACTTTTCTGCCAGAGAGGAATAAAGAATTGTTCCAGTTTCACCCATTTATTGTTTGTTTGGTACTGGTGTATTCCTGATGTGTGTGCAGCGTCGTTCTTGCCATTATGGTTCCTGGTGTATGCAGAGTGCTTCCTTGCAAATATAGTTTCCACCCCATGCACAGTAAAATACTTGAAAACAATACTTCCACGCATATTAACCATGCTAAAGCAAAATGGCTGGCAACACTGTTCAGCTACATATCCTACATTCTCAACTGTGCTTTAAATGAAAACACATTTTCAGAATGTACTTTTAAACCAGGGATACCTACTAGAACAGTAGTATGGATGGTTAGCGTCAGTTTTGTGCGGTGGGGAGCAAACTGGGATTATTCATCAATTAGGGAAGGTTGAGGAAATTTAAAACCATGAGAGGTTTTGATAGTAAGTAAACTGTTTTCAGATACAGAAGGTTTGAAGGAAAGTAGGGCTCATGGTTTTCGAGATAATTGGCAAAAGAATCAGGAATTACATGACTAGGCTTTTTTTAAACACTGCAAGTTCTGATGATCTGGAAAATACTTCCTGAAAAAGATGCTGGAAGGAGATTCGGTGTAACATTCAAAAGTGAAATTGATAAATAAACAGTACAGAATTACAGGACTGAGGGCAAAGAGCAGGGAAGTGAGATTAATTGGATGGCTGCACTAATAAACAAGCATGATGGACTGAATGAAGTCCACATGTGTTGTATCGTTTTATGATTCTACCTTCTTACATGGGTAAGAGTACTACCACTGAGCCATAGTTAAAACCCTCAGGACTCAGATGATATTTTCAGAGAACCATGCTCATGAAGAATGTTGATGGATGTTTACCACGAGTTGCTTGGTGTGTTGGGCACCCATATAGTGAGCTTTGCCAAAGTGTTCAAAAGAGCATGGAACAGGTCTGCTCTAACATGTCAAGACTTTGTACAGAGCATAGAGATCTTTCTTTTTATGGACCATAGTCATCTAGTCTCTCTTGGCCACTCCCAACAGATGCAATGGAAGCTCAGATGGTTGCCATCCTGGCTATGACAGACCAGTGTGAAATATGCTTCGAGTGTGATTTGTTAATGTTATACAAATACCTGAGATCATTGGAGTTACAAAATTCCCTTTATTACAGAGTCAAAAGGAAATGAACTCAACTTGACCATCAGGAAGAGTTTTAAGGTTGAAAACATTGGACCACTGACTATCTCAGTGATTTCGATGAACATTAATGGATACAGATGTCAAGGATTTGGGTTTCAAATTCTAAAATGTGAACCATTTGTGTTGGATACTAATTCTTCACGTGAGATCAGTATTCTGTAAGTACAGATAATAAATAATGCCCAATGGTAGTGGTGACCTAAGAAGTGCTATAGTTGTACTAGAACAGTTTGACTAAGAGCACAGCAAATCTGGAGCACAAGTATTTAGTACTAGTAACAGAATTTTGTTTAGGTTGTACTTGCGCTAGGTTGGCATCTAATTTTTTTTATCATTGGGTCAAAATCCTGAATCTCCCTACCTATTAGCTCTGCGGCATAACTAGACTCCAAGTACTGCTGCAGTCAAAAAGGTAGCTCGCCAGCACACCTTGAGGGCAATTATGAATAGGCAATAAAAGCCAGTCGAGGCCAGTGATGCCCATAACCATAACCCACATATATTCCCAACATTTACTCACCTCATTTTTAAAAAAAAAAAAGACTTGAACCTTCAATCCTTTGACTTAAAAGCAGGCATGCTACTAATCATCTTCCGGAACACTTAGGAACACAATGCCTGGTAAATAAGAATGTGATGAAATGTGTTTGTAAATAAATATCATTTTCGGCATTTGGATTTTAAAATGTGCTTTATGAAAGTTCTGAAAGTTTTAAAAAATCAGTCCTTCTGGAACAGTAACTTAATCGAGTCATTGTCAGAGCAGAGACCCCTGGTGAATTAATGGGAAATTGTTGTTACTGTGTGGTTTATGACAAGTGGATTACACATTGAAGACAATTAGCTTGTTTTTGGTTCAGGATACTGCAGGATTGAATTTAGCTGAGAAAACTCAAAAGGTTGAAGGGTTTTTATAGATCCATTTGGAGCAGATCTTACTGGAGTCTAAAGCAAATTAAGTTTCCCTTAAAAAACAAGTACAGAACAGTTCAGAGAAAGCAGAGTTATCTCAGTAGAAAACTTTAGTTTGTGAAACTTTGAAACCGTTAGTGTTTGGTTAGATATCTGCAGATTGTTGAAAACTAAGGAATTCTAAGTTCTCAGTTCTGGGAATGTTCGTGGAAAGAGACTAAACAGTCCATGGGAAAGAAATGGATAGAATCAGCTAAATTGAATTTAAATATTAGATAAAGAAGGGTCATTTATTTGGATTGAGTCTCTGTAATGAATAGTGTTTGAAAACTTGAGACTTCTGTTTGCTTTGTGTTTTAAAATCTTTCAAGCTGTTCTGTGTTTTAGATGATTTGTTTTCTGGTTTTCAGCTTTTGTGTAATAAACTATTGTTCTGTTGTTAAAGCAACTTTCAGCCTTTTGTAACCATGTTTCAGTGAATGACCACCATGTTAGCAAAAAAAAACAAAAAAACATGATCCAAGACATCTACAAAATGCACTGCGGAAATTCACCAAAGATCCTTAGAATCCTCCAGATCCACAACCACTTCCATCTAGAAGGGCAAGGTGCCCCAGATACACGGGAATACCACCCCTTGCAAGTTCCCCTTCAAGCCACACTTAATCCTGTCTTGGGAATATATCGCAGTTCCTTCCCTGTTGCTGGGTCAAAATCCTGGAATTCCCTCCCTCAGTCAATCTTACAGCATTTTGACTGCAGCAATTCAAGAAGGCAGCTCACCACCACCTTAAGGCCAACTAGGGACAGGCAGTAAATCCTGGCCAACCAGCAATGTTCACATCTCTCAATGAATAAATAAAGGTTCCATTCTGGGATCTGGCATGTCTAGAGTGTCATCAATAGGATTATTAACAGTTGCAATCGATATTTAATTATACTGAACCAAAATCAAGTTATAATGGAATTAGATTTTACCCCACCTGTAGTAAACCACAATAAGAACAGTTTCCATAAATACTCTTAGAGGATTCCTGCTTTCTGACGCACATTGCACTGCGTCATATTTCAGAAGGATTGTCTGACCTAGTTCTTTTTTCAAATGTCTCAAAAATAACGCCATTTGCAACTATTTTAAAATCTAAACTCTAAAAATTATATATATAAAAATAAATATGTAACACTCTTCTTCACAATGTCCAGATACTTTATTTTGATGCAAGTTGTTTTCCTTGTGTTAATTTTTACTCTTGCAATGTCCAGCTGTGTACTTATGATTAGCTGTATTTTGTGACGATAAGATAGCTGAGTGTTTGTGTTATGACAAAAGCAAGATACTGCAGTTGTTGGAAATCTGAAATTCAAAGAGAAGCTACTTGAGCCACTCAGCAGGTTGGCAGCGCCATGACTATGGGAATAAAATTAACATTATAGGTCAATAATCTCTCAGAATTACTGAATGTTCTGATGGACACCCTTCAACCTAAAACATTAATTTTGTTTCTTTCTTGATAGACACTACCTGTCTTGAGTATTTCCTGCATTTTCTATTTATGTTCATGTTCTCATTGTTGGCTTGTTAATAATCATTTTGTTTGTAGCATACTTTTCAAAACATGCTTTGCTTGGAGATGATCTGAACTGCAGAGAACAGCAAAATTGTGAACAGGGGCAAATTGATGGTGAAGACACTCTTCGTGATCACTTTCCCAGCCAACAGCAGACATTAGTACTGACCTCAAAAATGGTTTGAGTACCAACTTTCCTAAGTATAGGAGTTAGGTGTGATAATTAGAAGAAGGGAATTTTCAAAAGATTGTAGTGGGCCATATCTGTGCTGCTGTCTAGTTCCAGATGTAGATGCACTGCTTCTTTTTTTTTTTCAGATTTAAACCTGTTCAGTTTGGTCATATTATGTTATTTAACTAAATTTGCCCCTTTTCCCTGCAGGTTTACACCAGATTTCACCACTTCCTGGGTGATTCGTGAATTGCAGTTTTTAACTGCAAGAGGCTTGCAGTTTCAGTTTACTCTGAATATGACTCTTCCACATCATCTGTTACCTCTTTGTGCAGATTTGGTGCCAGCACTAAGTTGGGAGCAACCATTCTGGATGGTCGTCTGCCTCTTTAGCTGGTCAGAAATTTAACATGAAATTCAAATATATTTGAAGTACAGTTTTAATGTGACAATAGTTACTATGAATTTATTGCTTTGAGTAATTGTTTCCTGTGTGATCTTGCAAAGAAAACTTGCTTAAATATCTGAAGTACTTTATCTTTCCTCTATTTGTACTTAAATAGATCTGAACTAAGTTACTGTCTGGAGCTCTAATGTTCACTTTGTATGTTGATTGTCTGAGTCTCGACACCCTTGTTTGCTCCTTGTGGGAACATTGCTAGAAATTTAAGCATTCACATTCCTAGTGAATGAGGATTTCATGCAGCCTTGTAGCTTTCAGAAACAGAAATTGCTGGAAAAGCTCAACAGGTCTAGCAGCATCTATGGAGGGAAAGCAGAATTAGTGTTTCGGTCTAGTGACCATTCGCTGAAGAAAAGTTACTGGACCCGAAACACTAATTCTGCTTTCCCTTCATGGATGCTGCCAGACCTGCTGATTGTTTGAGCAATTTCTGTTTTTGTTCTGATTTCAGCATCCACAGATCTTTTTGGTTTTTTTTCTTTGCATTAACTTTGGATCTTCAGTTGACGAATTACTTATGATGGTTACTTTGCCAGTCCTGTCCCAAATCTGTTATACCAGCATTCGAAAACGTTAGGGCACACGTTGCATGAATTGTTTTGCTAGGGCTGGGGTATTTCAGAACCAGCAGGGATCCAGCCGAGACCAAAAATTTGGGGGAATGTGATGTTTCGATGGGTGTTGGGGCCCAGGATTGGAATTTGTTGCCACTAAGCCAGTCGGGCAGGAGCCTCTGTCAGAGGAATTGCAGTTCAGCAGTTCCACCATGAGAGGAAGAGGACAGATTGATGGACATATGTCCTCCAAGCCAATTAAGTGAAACATGGCACTGTTGGGGCCAGTCAGGCAGACCCCAGTGAGGTGGGGAGTGAAATCACTGAGGGCAGGTCATACCATTGCTGTCAGGGGACCCCTTGGTGGATAGAGTCCTAAAAGAAGGGATCTCGAGCCTCTACCTGCAGATTCCTCGCTTTAACTGGCAGCCTACCCATGCAGCAGAGGATAAAATGCTACTGGCAAAATGGGGAGGAAGGAAATGGGCTTCAGTAGGGTTGCCTTGCCAGCATTAACCAGTTCCCGTCTCTCCTCCTCTTCGCCCTTGACTCTTCCCCCTTGACCCTTCCCCTTCCACAATAGCTATTACTATAGGTCCTATAAATTTCCAACCACAGTGAACTTCTGGAGGTGAGTTGAACACTTCATTGAGGGAAGGGGGACATGCTGAGAATGTGCCCCCAATCTGTCAAAAGCCTGCTTTCTTTGACAAGAAACATTTTAGAGTGTTTTTTTGTGTGATGTGTAAACTTTTATTCTGAATTCCAATGTAAACTGAAACTTTAAAATATGAGGGCCAGTTTTCTGTCAACGTCTTGGCTCCAGTAGTGATCTAATTCTTTTTTAAATAGTAAAGGAAATGACTTATTCTCAAGTTTCTTTTTAACTTTAAGGTGTAAAACAAAAAGTGATATACACCTGGAGCTTAAAAGTTTGCACAGTTCTTTTAAGAACAGTATTCTGTTGAAGTGATGTGATTTGATCATTGGATGTTCTGGGGCTAAAATTCAGCTTTGGGGTGCAAAGCCAATAATAATGTTTCTTGTGTTGTGTGCCTGCAATTCATATCCATGAACTTAAATGGGAAGGAAGATCAGTCAGGTTGCATAGTATTCCCCTAAAATTGCACATGATCTCTGTTTTAGATTCCAATTCACCATTAGAGTACACCAGAATAATACAGCTTGGAGGTCGTTTGTTCATATTATAGTAATGCATTATCCGTAAATTGAAAATTTTTTATTTATTTTGCTATTGTCAATGTACTTATCATGTTTCTTTGTTTGTAGCTTGCTGCTAATTTGTGTCATCATTATGGCCTACCAACGTGCTCACTACATTTTAACAGAGTTTAGTCAATCTAGACAAAGGACATGCCAGACCTCCCTGCTGCTCCAACAGGACAGAACCTCCATTAACACACTTGGCTCAACAACTTACAAGTAAGCTTTCTATAATCATTTTTCAGCAGTAGTTTTATAGTGGAATATGGCCTTTATGGTGGTTTATTATTAAGTTACCTATTTGGTTTGCTTAAGTAATTGTAAAAGTATATACATGTCTAAGTGTTTTAAGTAAAATAGATACATGATAAATAACAATGTTTAAATAGCCACAGGCAAGTCAATAATTAACATTGTTTTTCTTATACAGACAGACAGCCTTTAAAATTAGATTAATTCTGGTGGTATAATTTTAATAGTTTCCTTTTCATATTGGCAGGTTAAGTCGAACAGGCTGTAAGACATGCATTGAAGGCAATAATTCGCCAGATAGGGGAAAAGGAAGAGGGACTCTACAGATAAACGGAACATCTATCCGAACCCAAAATACCTCAAAACGGAGTCCCATTAACTCAAGCCATTGTTCAAGAAAGCTCAAATATTACAGCAAAAATAAATTGAATACATCTGCAAGCATTGGTTGTGAGACTAGTGAAGAATATCAGCAGACCAATGGTGGGCCATTTTATAGTTCTAAAGAGCAGCGGTCGTGCACTGAGAGTCCTCCACATACGAAGCCACGTGATGAAAGGTATGCACCATTTGCAGGAGAGGATCTGGAAAAAGTAGAGGAAATTGTACAAGAGTGTGAAGTTAAACCATTTTTTCTTGAAACTAAACCTACTACTGAGCATGCTGATCATGATCCTGTGACCTGTGTACTGTCAGAAGAAAGAAGTTCTGAGCTTCCTTTCCTTGTCCTTGACAATAAAGAATTGAATCACTACGGATCTTTCCACGCACATTCTCTAGATGATCACCTAGTGCCAGACGAAAGCTTCAGGACTGATGAAACACAAATTGTGTCATCCACCACTATAGGTACCTCAATATTTTCTGAATTATTCAGAATCGAAATGTATGCTTATTCTAACAGTGATTTTAATGCCATCTTATTTTAATTGATGCTAATTCATGTGGCACTGAATTAGTGTAAAGCTGGTAATTTGATCATACAGAAATTGAGTATTTCCGAAAGAAATCGCTTTTTGTCTATCCCTCATTAGGATAATTTGCAGGCCTTCTAATATAAAAGGAGAAAGGCATTTGTACCATATGAGAAGGGGGTGCTGATTAATTGAGGCATTGGAGACTACACCAGTTAATGATGACTAACCGTTCACTATGAAGCTTGTTGAAGCTATAAACCAGCAGATTAATTCTAGTGAAACATTGTTCTAGAAAGTGAGTGAGAGAATGACTTGCCTATTATGTTGAATTGAAACAGATGCAGTGTGTACACATACTTTCCAACTGCACAGAACAGGGCCCTGTGTATTAATACACATAGCTTCTAGTACATGCAGGTGTGCCATATTCTAAGCCCAGCTGATGATCCTGATATGATTGTCAGTATAATTCTTCACACACAGGATTATGTTGCAAATACTATCCAATTGCAGAATCTCATTTACTGTTGGACACTTGAGTTTTGCAAACACAGCTGGTTGGGAGTGGTGAATACCTTATTACTGTTTGATATGATCCTCTAATCTTCGGGACATATGGCCAATATACCTAGCATCTCATCACTGAAATTTATATACGACATTAGTCATTCTTGTTGGTGAACACCACTTAAGTTCCTACTGTACAGTAGCAATGTGAAACAGTTAGCTGCACCTGATGCTTATACTTTTGAGATCTCTTGCCCTTCTAGGGTAATCTAAGGTTGACTGGGTACTTCTCAGACCAAATCCTGCAAAGTGAAAATGCCTGGACTGTTTTTGAGGTTCCAAAAAAGTCAATGTTATAGTATATGGTAGTGAAAGAATCTCAAGTATATTGACCAATGAGGATAGATTTATGTTAGACAGTAGTAGAGAACCTCCTGACCAAGTTCTCAACTAATATATTAGGGAGTTCATTTGACTGCTGTACTTCAAAGGTGAATTTGAGTGGAGAAGGGAATCAATTAAGACATGTAAAGAAATTAAAGCTTGGCAGTGAACTGTCAATCATTGTTAATTGCTGAGTCAAAATACAGAAAGGGGTAGAGGGCTTGGTGTCATGGTGCGATGATAACAACTTCTCTCAATGCTGGCTAAACAAAAGAACTAATCATTGACTTCAGAAAGAAAGGAGGAGGACATGCCCCCATGAGCAGAGGTTGAGAGTCAAGATCCTAGGAGTGACAATAACTGACAACCTGTCCTGGACTTCCCACGAAGATGCAACGGTCAAGAAGGCACAACACCTCTTCCTCAGGTGGCTTAGGAAATTCAGTATGTCCATAAGGACCCTGACCAACTTTTACAGCTGCACCTTGCTTACTGTGATCTGCCTGTACACTCAAACAAAACTTTTCACTGTACTTGGGTACATGACAATAAATCGAATCAAATCATCCATTGTGATACCCCTGCCAATCGATCAGCACTCTCCTCATGTACAATTTTCCCTTTTGGTATTGCAGATTGTCCTGATGAGAGATAATGTAAAGCTCCTACAAAATGTGTACATTTTCAAATATTCGGATATTCAAATTCTGCGCTATCAAATGACTATTTGCATACCAGTGAAAGAGGTAGAACAAAAACCCAATCTGGGATATCAGCAACCTAAATAAAAACCGATAGAACTGTGGATGCTGTAAATCAGGAACAAAAACAAAGTTGCTCGAAAAGCTCAGCAGGTCTGGCCGCATCTGTGAAGGACAAAACAGAGTCAACGTTTTGGGTCTGGTGACCCTTCCTCGGAACTGATGAAGAGTCTGAGGAAGGGTCACCGGACCCGAAACAGTAACTCTGTTTTGCCCTTCACAGATGCTGCCAGACCTGCTGAGCTTTTCCAGTAACTTTTTTTGTTTTTGTATCAGCAACCTAGTTGACTTAGCTTACACATTCTTAACTTGCCACCATCACTTTTATTCAAAAAATGCATTAAACCTAAAATTGTGCCAGTGTTCATTTCCAAATACTTTGATAATGCTAAATTCAGGTACAGTCAATTGATATAGGAGCAGAATTAGACCATTCAACTTCTCGAAGCAACTGTGAGATGAGATTAAATGGGGTTATTAATTTACACCATGCCCTGCACTGCAGTCAGTTTAAAGTGAGCAATTTTTAAAAATTTGATACCATTTATCCTGCTATATTGCATCTGTAGATGACCATGTCATAAATGGTACCCTTTTAAAATAGGCCCACAATGTAAACTCACTTAAGCGGAAGAAATTTGGCAATACAGTTAACAATGCCACTAAACCGATTAGTAAATTTTTGAGTACATACACTCTGAAAACTATTAATTTGTCCTTTGCAAGTTTTGGTGTGCCTTCAATCCACGTCAAGCAGAAAGAAGTAAATTTGTGAAATTTAAGCTCTACTACTCCTAGCAACACTGCTAAAAAACAGTGTCCATCAAAGTAATTCCTTGAAAGTATGCCTGGCTGATCTAACAAGCATAAACTGCAGGATTTCAAATATCTTGTCTGACTTTCACATCCAAAGTTCATATCTGGCAACATTGTAAAGCCTCAGAGTCAACCTGGACGTTCATATAATTAAACCCGACAATGGGCCAGGAATAAGTCACCTTTAACAAGTGTGCCTACATCAAAAAAATTTGCAATGTTCTTAATGCTGGGTCATATTCAAATTTGTTGGGCCTTTTGCTCTATATGACTGGTTAGCCTTGCCCAAATCCAAACCAAAAATAAAACGCTTGCTGAATTTGTTCAGAAGCTGCCAGGTGATATAGCCAGGTGGGTGCGCACAAATGATAGCCCTTAATGCTTTATTTTATTATGCTAGTTCTACACATGTTAGAGTGAATTACTGAACCCATTTTGATCCAGGTTTTCTACATGTACTGTGAAAGATTCCTTCACATTTGCAAACACTATACGGTGCTTGCATATCAATAGAATGCACTGTCCATGCTCATTTTTGACATTGCGAGCCTATTCAGCAATGTCCCCCGCAAGGAAGCCATAGACATTTGCACTGCAGCACTGTGTGGTAATCTAAATTTGCTACCGTTATGTGAAACAGTATTCACTGAACAATGAACTCTCCAACTTGCACAGTTGTGTTCAGTTTCAATGACACCATGGAAATCAAAAGAAAAAGTGTTGCTATAGAATTCACTCTAGGCCCGTCTTTGGATTCTGAGAGAAACCTGTCTTCGGAATTATACCTGACCTCCCATTCCTTGTATGTTTCCAACTAGCAGATGATACATTTGCTTAATTTGAAACTGCAGCTGCATATAGTCATTTCCTTGCATGTCTTAATGGCACTCAAACTCAACTTTGAAAAAAAGTAGTTTCGTGAGCTCCCTTTCCTTGACGACCTACTATCTACTGCAATCTCCCCTACACTAATGAAAGTATTTGCTAAATTCCTACATTTTCATACTGTATAGGTTTGGTCTTATTAGCAATCTTGTAGGGCCTGAACCATTTGTAAATGGTGGCCAACTTTAGATTTGATTCTAAAATTGCATAGCAATTGCTAGAGTCTCTTGGTTCAGGGGTAGGGGGACACCATCACAAGAGGGCCCCTCCAGTTACGTGTAGACAGACCATGTAAACATTCTCCACCTGTTTCATCTCGACAAAAGAAGTAATAGCTATTTGCTGATTCATTTTCAAGGCAGTGTCTTCAATGGTCAGAATCATGCTGCCTTGTTTAACTGCCGAGCTTTGGTAAAATTTTAATGTCAGTCATTGTTACCTGGTATCTTCTCCATGGCATAGCTTCTAGTGATCAGAGTCTACTTGCTAACCAGCCCCCACACTCATAGGGGAGAAGTGTTGCTTTTTCTTTACTCTGCTCCTTCTTACAGATTGTCCTGATGAGTGCAAGATGAAATGCTTTGACAAAACGTATCATGTTCCAGTATTTAATAGGATCGGTAGTTTTGTTTTTATAAGGCAGTCAACCAGTTATGATGCTATTGCAAGAAGGACACTAGTTCCTAGTCTAAGGCTATTGCCTTGGTTTACAGATACTGTCGATGCTCTTTTATGCTTCTTTGACACCAATGCCTACAAGAAAATAAAGCAGGCTAATGACAATAAGTGCTCCATGTAGCGCTGGTGTTGGATAACGTAGTTCAGTGTAGGTTGAGTCAGATATATCTACACTGCTCTATTAAACCACTTTCCACATCCTCGAGAGAGAAGTTGAGCACCTGTTGCTGAGGCAGTTCTAAATAAAATTGCAATATAATGGCTCCACTCAAACCTATCAAGTGAGCAACCAGGCATACTCTACCAGAAGAGGAGGTTCTATAAATTGAATCCCTGTGTTGAGGTAAACTGACTTGAATTGATTGCAGCAATTGGGTCCTGCAATTAGTCTTGAGGCTGTAAATTTGGGAAGTGAAATCAGCTGATTCCTGTATGCTTTTCAGTGACTCCACCTCTTTTGTTCTTTCATGGAATGTGGCAAGACCACTAATGTGCCATCCCTAATTGCCCTTTAAGTGAACATTTTGCTATGCTATTTTAAAGAGCATTTAAAAGTCAGTCTCAGTGCTGTGGATCTGTCACATTTAGGCTAAATGAAGTAAATATGACAGATTTCTTTCCCCGAGGATATGAATTAATCAGAGGAGTTTTTAATGACTTGATGATTTCATGGTCACTTTTAGCGAGAGTACCTTTTAATTCTGGACTAAATGGTCTTAATTTAAATTCCACCATTTGCAGTGAGATTTAAACCTACGTCCCAAAAACACTAGCCCAGAGATTTAGTGACTATATCATTAAACCAGAGTTTCTCTTACTTGAAAGTTCATGAAGTGTTAAATGGATTCAGTCATCCTTCGGCGTATCTTCTTTCCACATTTCCTCTCAATTAGACTGCTCATATTCAACATTAAATCTTGCATGTGAATAGTACTTGAAGGAGATGATGACTCTTTCAGGAATGGTTGATAAACAGTAGTGAGTGGATGTGATGGGAAAAAATTAGTTTCAAATGGAAAATTTAGATGTGATGTTTTGAGCTGTTAGGGTTTTTCTTTAAAGTTGTAATTCTGACCCGCAGATAATCTGCAGCAAGAAACAATGGAGAAGATCAGTGAAAATGTGAAGACAGAAGAACAGGTGCCTGATGAACCTCAAGAAAAAAACTGTGTGCCAGAGCTACAGAATGTACTGCCTCCCTTGATAACACAGAAACTGTCCACAACTGAGGTATGAGGCTTTAACTATGTACAGAAAGGAACATCCTAGAAGTCTTCAAAAATATTATGATGTGTGTTTTCTGATTCTGAAGCATTTCCATGTTGCACCTGCCCTAAAACTGTGCTCTTCTCAAAATGCCCAATGCACAGATAGGGTTTTGGAAGCACCCGCAGCAAGCATTTCTTGACCAAAATTGACTTATGTTGGGGAGAGGATCTGCCAGTAATACAGACCGTAAATTCTCCTCAAGCACCCGTGTTACTGATAAGATGGTCCTTTTACACTATATTGATTTCTCTTAAGTGTTCAAGCCCAAGTGAAATTCTTGGGCTGCCTTGCTTTATTGATGCTATTCGTGCCTCTAAGTCAGATGTCACGTTCTCTAATGACCTGACACACAATCTAAGCACCGGCTCCAGTGATTGCTACCTTGATTGCTCTTTCAGGTTGTTTTAAAAGCACTCATGGCACTATTGCAGATATGGGTGTTCTCCTGATGTTCTGGCTAACATTTATGTCTCAACCAACACTTAAAAAATCAATTTATTTCATTATTACTTATTGGATCTTGCCTTGCACAAATCGGCTTTTCCACTTTAGTGTCTATGCTTCAAAAGTATTTCACTCACTGAAGTAACACAGTGCGGAGCTGGGGGAACTCAGCAGGCCAGACAGAAACAGAGGAGCAGGAAGGTTGACATTTCGGGTCGGGACCCTTCTTCAGCTTTGATGCTGCCTGGCCTGCTGTGTTCCTCCAGCTCCACATTGTGTTATCTCTGACTCCAGCATCTGCAGTTCTTACTATCTCTCACTCTCAGAAGTGCTTTGCCACATTTTTTTTAGGATTTGAAAGGCTCTGCAATAAATGTGAGACCATTTGTTTCTCCTTGCACAGCGCACATGTTCAGCCTTTGAGAACCAACAGTGCCTCAGATCCACACACTGACACCAAGCTGATCTGACTGTGATCAGTAGGCTTCACAATTGCAAGTAATATTTTTTGCATTTGGTTTTAATCCTGATGTGGACTTGTCTCTGACGACTCATGAAGTGCAAATTAATCAACAGCCACACATGTAACTGGTTTAATGTAATATAGTTTGAAAGCTATGGCGTTGATGGTTCTGACAAAGATAAGATTGTCTGATTTTTAAGTCCATTTTTGATAAAATTATAGAATGCTATTATCATTTTATAATAAATCTTTCACAACTTTTTGAATAATACTATCAGCATAAGACACCATTGGACAAGGTTAAACAGAAAAGACAAGTGAAAGGCGAAGTTGCAATTCGTAATAAATGGAAGGGAAGAAAACCATGTGGGAAAAACAAGAATATTTCTCTGAGGTAAGTATGAAATTTCTCAATATAATTCTTTGAAGATATAATGTAACAAAATACATTTATGGCCTACATAAACATCGTTAATACCTCTCAATAGATTAGGCTGCTGGCATCTCATAAATACTCTCTATAGCCTGGCACCACAACTCAGTTGTACCAAGCCATTACAGAAAATTCAGAAAGGAATACAACTAAATGGACCGTCCAGCATCAGTCTAGGCGCCAGAATTGACAATGGCATACCCAGCCCTGTTGACCCTGAAAATTCATTCTTAGTGTCAAAATTGTGTCATTGAGCAATAATTCAGCAACAGCTTGTGTTAGTTGTACTCCAAGTCTTGCCTTGCAAACAATGTCCCAGCACTATCCACACATTCCCTAGATTTGTCCCATGCCATTCTAACATATGAAGTAAGAGAGGAGTAGACCACTCAGCTTCACAGGCTGCTTCATCCCATTGGCAGAACAGACCTCCCAGATGTGGTACAAAGTTGGGAAAGAGTTAGTGTGTGTTTTCAAAAGTGACTCAGGACCACTTGAAGTCTTCTGGCATCAGGGCAAATGTGGCATGGAGACCTGATTATTGTCTCGGTCCCAGCCTAAGTGATGAAACAATATTCATCCATGTTCAAACACTACTTGGAATAAGATTGCAAGGGTCGAGAATGCACTGTGGGTAGTGAGTACAAGATTTTCCAATTGTAAGTCAGTTTTTGATAAAATCATAGAAAATATCATTTTATAATAAACCTGTCACAACGTTTTGAATAATTCTATCAGCAAAAGGCACCATTGGACAAGGTTAAACAGAAAAGAGATGCTCACCAAGGGTATCAGTTGCATTGCTATTGACCAAGCTGGCTGAATCCTGATAGCTACTAGACTCGAAAATAAATAAGGAGGAAAAATCTACTTGCCCTCATTCTCATCAATCTACCTGTTGCTGATCTATCCCTTTTTGACAGTACTAGTAGGAGTGACCACCTGACCAACATTCTGAAGATACTGTTATCTTCACATTGAGAATACTTTTCATTGTTCTGTGATAGTGTCACCATGATGAGTAGGATGCATTCAAAACAAATCCAACAGCTCATATCTAGCTTTGAGTTAAGGCACATTCCTGGTGGATTAAAATATAGAATTGCTTTCTTAATAACACTGTGGGAGTCCTTGAACTCAGAATGAACTGCATAGGTTCTGGAAGGTAGTTGACCACTATCTTCTCCAGGGCAATCAGGATAGGCTGGTCTGGCCGAGAATGCATACATCCTGTGAGAGTCCTTTTAACGAAAAAGACATGGTGCTAGATCTGGCAATGACCGGATAAATCAGTTGTCTACTATATCCGTTCAAATCTGTTTTTTGGACTTGGAGATTGATGAGGGTTGACTGGGAGAAATGACTAGGTTGAGAGAGTGAGTTTTATTAGGGACTCTTTATAGCACACAAAGAATCCATTCACCTTACTGGGTTCATACTGACTTTACAGGGCAATCTAATTAGTTCCAGGTTCTCCCCACCACTTCATTATGCCAGTAACCTTGCAAGTTTACTTCCCTTACTATCACTTGATTTCCTTTTGAAATGAGTCACTTCCACCACTTTCACAGCCAGTGAATCTAATACCATTGCTCAATGCCTATGCTGAAGTCCAATAAGATGTAGACTGTAAACTATTTAGGATTTTGACATCTAACATTTAAAGTAAGAATAAAACTTTTATTTGCCTTGTTATAACTGTGCTAAGAACTGGCTAAACTTCAAGTTTCATCTTTTGCTAGGTCAACTGATCAGATAGGTGATGTGCACAGTGAGAGAAACTACAATTGCAGACAAAAGGAAGATGCATTTCAGGACCAATCTAGGAAGGTGTGGCAATATGGTAAAAAAGAAAAGGCTAACACCCATACAAAACCAGACATTTATCTTAAAGAGGCAGAAAGTGGTAACTATGCAGCTTGTTTGCATTTTATTGTTTGTTTTTGCAATTCTTGTATCAACTTAGGCCAGTTGAATATAGCTCTCATAATGGGATAAATTGAGTAATGACAATACTGACCATTAGGCCAAAAGATACAGGAACAGAAGTAGACCATTCAGTCAAACAGATCTCCTCACTTTTCAGTGAGATCATGGCTGATCTGATGATCTTTGACTCTACTTTTTTCTGTCTTTTCCCATTAATCTTTTGATTTTTCTTATTGATTAAAAATCTGTCAAACTTGAAAAATCTTAATTACCCAGCCTTGACAGTTCTGTGATAGAGTTCTATAGATTGGCAACTTTATTGTGATTGGAAATATTTGCTATTACTATATCACATTCCTATTTTGCAGATTGTGCCAGTACAATTAATGAAATATCTGTAGTTAGAGATATTACTTGTGGTAGCTAACTTAATACCCTAAGGTGTATTGAAAGTCTATTATTTCATTGCACTGAATTTTTAAATGTAGCTTTCTTCATGTGAAACGCTGCAAGCTTTAAATCTTCATTTGTTAAAATGTGTTTTGCTTAATATTTCTTTAATGTGTTGCTGTTTCTTTTTTTTTTTCGGAGATTGTTGTTCAAACTGGAAGATGCTGTTTAGGAAAATGCGTTCTGGTGAATCCAGCTCTGATTCTGGAAGTTCGTCAGACAGTGTGAAAGCAAGCCGTGATAGCTGGGGAAGCTGGAGCAGTAGCAGTTCTGAGGGAGAGAAGGATCAAAATATCAATGCAAAATTGCACTTTGTATCATCTGCTGCACAGAGTAAGTGAATGCTTTAAAATAAAGTCCTATACATTAACTATAATTCAAAACTGGATTCGACAATGGACGTAATGCCTGTTGGAATTAGGTTCAAATGCTGCTTAGGTTAAATGGTGGAAAATCCTCATGAACAGCTTATCAAAAACTTACCTAACAGCAAGCACCTGGATATGGGGGTGGTTTCCCTGCTGTCCAAAAGTATGCTTGCACTACTTGAGAAAGGGGAAATATATAAGTGACTGGGAGATGTGCATTCAGCTTGAGACTTTTTTCGCAAGTTTTACAATATTGTTGCTGGTTCAGTTCTTCTTAGTCAATGAATCAGAGCGTGTGGACTCTTGGTGATCTGTTTGATCTGATTCTGAGTATACTGTTCAACCTTGTATCTGATTCACGATCAGAATGGTTACCGCTGTACAAAACAACAATATTGCTTATTTCTGCTTTTTGCCTGAAATTGTGCATGTGCTACCTTAAGATTTATTGTTCTAATTTCTTCAATTATGGTGTCTCATTCTCCATAAGCTGATAATTGGTCCAAAACACTCATACATATCCTGTACAGCTCCGAGTCCCAGTGGCCTCTAGTGTATGTCCTCAATGGGCTCGGGTCCTCCAAAAGTTAACTTTAAAATTTTTGGCATTAAATGTCTGCATGGTTTGCCCTATCGATATTTTGCAATTTCCTTCAACCTTGTATCAAGTGCCAGACCCGTTCCTTTGGTTCGAGCCCTCTGTATGCTTTGATGCCTTCACCTAAACGTCAGTGACTGTGCCTTCACCTGCCTTGGTCCTACTTGAAAAATTCCCTTCCTAAAACCTCTTGCCTGTCATCTCTCTCCACCTTTCAAAAACTTTGAGCAGCCCAGCTCCTTTCTTTTTGGGTACCCCGACAAGTCTTTTCTTTCCTGCTTTACTGTCCTTTTGCTGACATCTATTTGTAATGCAGTGTGAGATACTTAACAAATGTTGATCTTAGACTTACTCATTTGTAATACAAAATTATATTTATAAAGTGTTATCCTTTGGAAACTAAGCCTACTAGGTCAGGTAAAGGACACCTGCATTTACTGCATTTTAAAATTTGACTTATTTACTTCAGAGGAGAGGATTTTCCGGCAGACTACTTCAATTTATAGCTCACCTTTACAAGAACATCACAGTTCGGGCAATAGAAGGTAACTATTAATATCACTTCTTAAAATCAAAGCCCCGTTATATAAGCACGCAGTTTGAATTTTATATTTCCTTTCTATTTTGTAAAAGGTTTCTTCATTTCAGCCACTCTACCAATAACAACATATGTTTAAGAGGTGATGCACAGCATTTGACTCCCCCTGACAAAAACCAATGTCCCACTTTTGCCGCAGTAGCTGCGGGTTTAAAGAAAAGTCCAGGTAAGAAACAGATTGTAGGTTGGAACGTAATCAGTAAATTAAAAAGATAATTGTTAAATGCTTCCTGTCTTGTGAAGAAAAGCGCAGCTTTTGATATTCAACCTGAAAGAAAACTGAAGTTGTGTGCTTAAAGATAAAAGAAACTGTGTTGCCTTGCTTATGTTGTATCCATGCCTACACTAATACTTTGACAAGCATTGAAGAAGTTGTGGTCATTAACTTACACACGAGATTTATTCTACAGTAGGAATTTTGTAATTCTGAAATAGAACCATGGATAATTTATTGCATTCAGCCTATTGTGCCTGCACTGGCTCAATAAACTAGTTGCCTGTTTCAATCCCTTTCCTTGAACATCTGATCTGTAGAGTTAGTGTTCTTTTTAAATGAGCTAAGGGTTTCTGCCTCCATCACCAAATTGGCAGCAAATTCCAGACGCCCACTACCACCCTTTGAGTAGAAAAGTTGTTCTCCATGGCCCCTGGAACTACATTGACTTTACCTTGAAGAAGGTACATTCACTGTAATTCCAGGGGACCGTAGGGCTGCGCACTCCTTGGTGAGTTGAACCTGAGGGTTGCCACTCTTTAGCCGAGAGGGAAGGATGAGGAAGCATAACCTTCGTGGTGACCTCAACTAGTATGGGAATTAAACGCACTGTTGGCATCATGCTGCATCACACACCAGCTGTCCAACCAACTGAGCTACTCAACCTTCTAATCTTTCTACCAATCATCATAAATCTGTGCCTCTGGTAGTTGACCGGTCTGTTAAGGGAAACGGGCCTTCCCTGTCCACTCTATCCTAATCCCTCATTATTTTGTACATCTCAGTAGCCTTCTGTTCTAAGGAAAGCAACCCAAACCTATTCAACCTTTCCTTTATAGCTACAGTTTTCAAACCCTGATAGCTTTCTTGTAAATTTTCTTGGCATTCTCTCTGAAGCAGTTATGTCCTTTCTGTGAATTGGTGACCTTAGCTGTATACATAGGTCTAGCTGTGACCTAACCCCCCTCTTTATATAATTCAAGCATTATTCCCTGCTTTTGTATTTAATACCTCCCCTAATAAAGGAGAACCTCTCATCTGCCATCTTTACCACCATATCTATTTCTCCTGCCTTCAGGGATTTGTCAACACACAGTCCAAGGTTTCACTTCCTTTAACTCTCTCAATGCTCTTTATTTTGTATTCCTTCTTTTGCCATCTCCAAATACATAACCTGGATTGAATTCCATTTGCCACTTTATCGTCCTCCCTACCATCATTTGATATCTTCCAGCAGTGTGTGTTTGTCATCAGGTCAATTGAAGGTTTTAACGCATAGCAACTTACATTTATCATGTGCCAGTAACCCTATCACAGCCATCCTCTTCGATATCAATTACTTGGCCAAAGTGTTCAAATTTCCCAATTATGCCTCCCACATTTAAGTCTAAAACATTAAAATAAACTACAAACAGCAAGGAACCCAAAACTAAGCCCTGCGGAACATTATTTTTGCGAATGAAAAGCAGCTTATATTTATCGACCATTATCCCTTCCATCCTGACATTGAGCCAGTTTTAGATCCAACTCACCACGTTCCCCTGGGTATCGTGGATTTTAACGTCTTAACAGTCTGCATGGGACCTTGTCAAATGCCTTAATGAAATCTTCTTCAATCCCCTTTTTACTTCCTTAAAAAATTCAATTGTTAGCGAGGCATGATGTTCCTTTAACAAAACCATGCTCAGTTTTCCTGATTCCTTTCTTGGAAAGGCAAGAATTAATCAATCCTATCTCACTATTCATTCTGAGATAATAAGGTGTAGAGCTGAATGAATACAGCAGCAGGCCAAGCAGCATCAGGAGCAGGAAAGCTGACGTTTCGGGTCTGGACCCTTCTTCAGAAAATGCTTTTGCTCCTCTGCTGCTTGGCCTGCTGTGTTCATCCAGCTCTACACCTTGTTATCTCAGATTCTCCAGCATCGGCAGTTCCCACTATCTCATTATTCATTCTAGTAGTTTGGCTACCACCCAGGTCAGACTGACTAGCCTGTAATTATTTGGTCATGCCTTGCACCTTTTATGAATAATAGTACAATGTGTTCTGGCCTCTTGTTGTCTGGTAACTGCCTTTGTCTAATGTCATTCCTTTGGACCAATGTACAAATTGCTATGCCCCTTTACCCAGTAGGCTAAAAGTTTAATTTTAAACTGCTGAAATTGACGTTAATGAGTCAGTATGGATCTCAAATTGGGATTAGCAGACTTACTGCCACCTTAGCCCTAATTGCTTTGCTGTGACATTCGCAGGCCTACCCCTTGGTGACCAAAGTGCCAGTCTGTCTTGGATATTTGGCTCCTTTTTACTAAGCAGTTTAGGATACTTTATTGAAACAGGGATGAGTAGATGCAGTCCAACCTTCTCTCCTTTAGGATAACAAATCAGGGTGCTAAGTGAGTCAGTGTTATAATCTGGAGAGTTATTTCATGTTTTTCTTGATCCAGGAATGCTCAGCTGAACTCTGCAAAGATATTGAGGGCTACTGCCCATCTGAGTTTAACCCCCCATAGGTTTTTTATCTTCAGAACAGACTGTTGGTGCATTTGGTAACTCTAATAGCAGACTTTCCACAAGGCACCCACTTCGTACCAACCACTTGCCAGTCAGGTAGAAATGATTGCAGTCTCAAATCATGGGCTCCTAGTTGGTCGGTCGGTATAAATCATCTACATCCTTACAGTTTGACTTAGTGTTGTATCAGACATCTGTCCATATATTGGGAAATATAAGCGACTTGTGGGATTTAAAATCTAGGCCTGCTTAAGAGGCTGCATGGACAACTCCTGTTCCTAGTCATTGCTCTGCTTGGAGCTGAAGAAAATCTGAATATCAAAGTTTGAATTGGAGTTTTACTATTTTTTCATGAGTACAAACGTAACTTTTGTTTTTGTTTTGAATGTGACATTCTCTCTCTCCTCATTGCTTGCAATTTTTAGGTCTTTACACAACAGTAAATGGTCAATGTTTAAAAACCATTCCTTCTGCAAATAGTTTGGCATATCATTCAGGGCATGGTATGCAGATTGAGCCACAGCCAAGACCAGCTGCTGATTACAGGTATTTCCATTCTGTAAATATCTATGACCAAAGAGTCTCACGGTCATTTTTATTGTCTGCAACTTTAAGCTTTTTTTGTATAATTACTCAACCTTGGCCTATTTGCAGAATGCTCCAGCTTTGATCTGAGGGCATCTTTAATATGTTTGTTCCTTTGAAAATTTAATTGAGCTGGTAGGCATAAGCACCACCATTCCCCAATTCAAATTCTGTTCTATGTTCTGCTGTTTAACACTAGTTGTGTTGATCTTGCATTAGGCAATATTAATAAGAAATGCTGCCCATCGTATTTGAAGATTATTGTATCCAGGAAGTGTGATCCAAATTCTGTCGTGTGGAAGGGTACCATTAGCTTCCTGCCCAGGCATACTGACCAAAGAAGAATGTAGTTCTTTGGTTTAAAGTAGATTCATTGAAATAATAAAGTAAATAAAAAGATCATTACCATTTAGTAATTGCTTTAACCTGAAAAATACAAGTAATTTTAAAAAATGCAGTAGATTTTCACTTTTTTTTGGATTATTTAATTTAATGTGGGTATGTTAATCTTAAACCAAGGTGACTGAAACTTTACCTCTTTAAATTCCTCTTCACAATGTTTGGGGACTCCGTGCACAGCACCATAACGATTAAAAAAGCAATGGATAGTGCATAACTGCACTTCTAATGTATATTCCTGGCAGACAGGGCTCTTAGTGGGAATGCAGTCCTGTAAAATCACCTCATGACTTTGATTTTCTGTCAACTGTGTCTCATTTTTATAATAAGTGGTGAGTGGTTACTTTGCTGTGACTGGTTTTTGCATGCTTATGGAGAAATGTTAAATGGCCATCTGAATTTCTTCTTTCATCAGTTATTGCAGTGTTGACTGCAAGTTTAGGTGGCAATGTGAATCCTCTTGCATTGTGCTCATTGTTTTTTAAAATTCATTTTAAAAAGTTTTAGTTTTATCTGTAAATTGATGCATGTATTAATTTTTAAAAATATTTTAAACTATCTTCCCTGAACCTCATTCAACAGTGATCACTGCAGTAATGCCCTCAGCACATTTCATGAGAATTACTTCTCTGGTGTTTCTGAAGGTAAGGCATCTGTAAAACAACTTGTTTTAGCATTATCTTTATTCTACATTTAATTAAAGGGAAACTTGACTTACAGCCAGAATGGGCAATGAGCCAGTTGAAGCTGAGATTGTTTTAGAAGCTCTAGCTATGAATTTCTAGTATATGATAAGAGCTGCTTCAGCATTAGTAGAAAGTTTGTTCTCAGTATTTTTCAAAAGTTCAAATTTCATAAATGCACAAATCAACAATGTTCAAACAACTGAAGCTATATGTGTAAGGCGTGTGTATTTTGACATTGGTCTGTCTGTATCTCTGAAAATGCAAGATGCTGACAGTATAACTGCAGCATTAAAGTACAAGACAAGAGAAAATGTAAAGGGAAGACCGGGCAGGCAGTTATTGAAAATATTTGGGTAAAAGAGAATTACTTGTGTTGTAAGCTGGTAATGAAGTAAATGTCCCATTTTATACATTTTTAAAAGAAATGCACAACACTACAATTGCATTTTAATGGTACTAAAATGCTTTTTCCAATTTGCATTTTAATTTACATTTGCTTTAATTTTTGTTTTCTTTCTCTGATTGGCAATATTTGTGAACAAAGTTGTTCTTTGTAAGAATGTTCTTGTGCAGGAGTGACTTTTTTTTAATTTAACCTATTTTTCTGGTAAACCTGTTCAGGGTGTTGTTATAGACCTCTGGAGCAGGTGGGACATGGACCGGAGCCTCCTGGGCCAGGGGTAGGGATACTACCACTGTCACGAGGGCTCCTTTCTTTTCTATTTAACCTGCTTTTTTAATCCACTTGTTCAGTGATGTTATTACACACCCTTGGAGCAAGTGGGACTTGAATCCAGGCCTCAGAGTCCAGGAGTAGGGACATTTCCCATGCACCACGAGGGCCATCAAAAGCGATTGCAACAGGACTTGAACCTGCAATCTTCTGGCATTCCAATTAACAACAAAGCCAAACGTTTTATCGATTTTAGGCCATGCAACCGACCTGTAAACAAATTGCATTATCGTATGTGCAACCTTAACAGAATTCGCCCGCGCAGACTTGGCATGACCAGCTACTAGCACGTGTGCCAGTTGTGAGATAAGGTTTATGCATAACTTTGAGCTTTTTTTTTGTTTAACCTATTTTTCTAATCAACCTATTCAGAGATGTTATTCCATAACAGATGGGGCTTGAACCCACATCTCTTAGTCCAGGGATAAGGATGCTACCACTACACCACAATAGGACCCTTAAGAGTGTCCATTTTAGAAAAATGATCTAAAACCAAGCAGCCGAGACCTATTTGTTCTTGGTCCTAAGCTCTGAAATTCCTGAAATTCCACGTTTCCTTTTTGAGATGCTCCTTAAAAATCTGGTTCATTGACCAATCTTCAAGTCATCTGTTTTGATATCTACTTCTGGTGCAACATCCTGTCGTATTGGCAAGTGCCATGAGCCATTTTGCAATATTACAGATGCTGTATAAATTCAAGCTTTGTATTTTTATTGGCTTATTTTAGTTCAGTGAGCATAACAGTTTGGAGACAACTGTAGAGATAAAATCAAAACATCGTGTTTCTATCGGCAACTTGAGATGAATCCAGTCTGCAGAAATGTGCATTCAAATGTAACATACGAGTGTGAGACTAAGTGGTGTAAACCAATGCTCTCCATAAAGGCAAGACTTTGAAGGCATTTCTTTATATTTCTTAAGGATTAGTTCTTAGAGTTTCTCTTCTCCCATCTCAAAATGAGTGAGCTTAATTTGTCTTATTTCTTTGTCAAACAGTAAATAATTGAAAAATCAAATGATTTTGATGTACCAGCATTGCATGCATGCATACATAGGGAGATGGTTCTGTATCATTTTCAATCAGTAATTAATGGCAAATTCTTACCATCTTCACATTATCAAAACCATTCACTTGAACTGTAAGATGTCTTTCAAAAGGCAATAACCAAAATGTGTTTTGAAATTTCTTCATTATAGCCAACCTGAATTTGTGTCATCCCTTCATTTGTACTGAAGGCCAAAATACATCATTTGCTGATCCAGCTTCCAGTTGGACCAATTTAGAGGCTCCCTGTAGCTGGTATCCTTCGAACAATGTCAGAACTCCTGTAAGTTGCCTAACTTGTAATTTTGAAGGTCTTGTTTATTGAAGCATTAACCAACATTCGTATCAGTCATGAAACATGAAAATTGTACAGTTGTGGGACAATTCATGTTGTATTCAGTTTAACTTCAGTTGTACAGACAAAGTATTATTTGCAAGTCAATTGAAACAATGATTTCCCACAAAGTAAAAACATGAACATAAAAATATAAAGCAGTAGTCAAGCAAAATAATAGAGGGAGAAGATAACAGATTTGAGAACACACTTACAGTCTGCTTTGATTTTACTTGCAAGGGCTCCTTTAAAAATGAAAAGGAAGAAAGTGGCCAGTGGTAACATAGACCTCTTAGAGAATGAGACTGGGGAAATAGTAATGGGCAACCAGGAAATGGCAGAGGAGTTGAATAAATACTTTGCATCAGTGGAAGACACTGAGCTTTCCAAAAGTACTAAATAATCAAGGGGCAAAAGAAGAGAAGCAATAAAGATAAGAGCTAAGACTAGAGAAAAAAAATGCTAGCGATGGGGCTAAAGACCAGTAGGTCCAGTGGACTTTGTGTATTCTACACAGATGGTAGACACACTGGTAGTAATCTTCCAAGAAGCCTCAGATTTTGGAAAAATGGTGAAAGGTTGGATAGCTGCCAATGTAACACCTTTTATTTAGCAAAGGAAAGGAGACCAAAAATAGGTAGCTATATGCCAATTAGTCAGAGTCCTACAGCACAGAGACAGGCTTTTCGGCCCAAACTGGTCCATGCCGACCAAAATGTTCATTCACACTAATCCCATTTCCCTGCACTTGGCCCATATCCTTCTAAACCTTCCCTATCCATGTATTCATCCAAATGCCTTTTAAATGTTGCTAATGTACACACTTTAACCACTTCCACTGGCAACTCATTCCATATGTGTACCACCCTCTGTGTTTTTAAAAAAAAAAAAAAAAAATTGATTATTTGGGGGCCTATAGTACAACCCCAGTAATGTCACTACCTCCTCCTTATTTCTTAGCTCCACCAAACGGCCTCACTGAATGATCCCTCAGTTATTTCTTTTCTGACTGCTGCTGTGATACTCCCCTTAATCAAAAACGCAACTTCCAATTTGATATTCTTCCTATAGCAGTGCGACCAGAACTGTACATAGTACTCCAAAAGTGGCCTCACCAATGGCATGTACAATCCCAACATGATGTCCCAACTCCTATACTCAAAGGTCTGAGCAATGAAGGCAAGCTTGTTTAAACGCTGCCTTAACCACCCAGGAAAATCACACCTGACAAATATGTTAGAATTCTTTGACAAGATAACAAACAGATAAGGGGGAAGTAGTGGATGTACTGTATTTGGATTTTCAGAAGGCATTTGATAAGGTGCAACATGTTAGGTGACTTAATAGGATAAGAGCTCATGGTGTTGAAAGTAGTCGGTTAGCATAGAGGATTGACTAACTAATAGAAAACAGCGTTGGGATAAAAAGGTCACTTTCAGAATGGCAACCAGTAGAGTGCCATAGGGATCAGTGCTAGGGCCACAGCTATTTACAATATATATTAATGACTTGGATGAGGAAAGTGAATGTACCATTGTCTTGTTTGTAGATGATAGAAAAATAGGTGGGCAGGAAAGTCGTGAAGGTGACAGTCTGTAGAGGGATATAAGCAGGTTAAGCATACGGGCAAATATTGGAAAATGGAATATAAAGTGGAGAAATGTGAGGTTATGTACTTCAAGAAGAATAGAGAAGCTGAATATTATTTAAATGAAGAAAGAGTGCAGAGAACTACAGCACAAAGGGATTTAAAAATCCTTGTAAATCAAAAAAGAGCTAGTGTCCAAGTTCAGATAATGGGTAAGGAAAATGGAATGGTGGGTTTTAATTTTAAAGAGAATGGAGTATAAAAGATAGGCAAGCCTTGCTAACACTATATAAGGATATTAGTCAGACCAAAGCTGGAATACAGTAAACAGTTTTGGCCCTCTTTATCTAAGGAAAGATCTACTGGATATGGAGGCAGTCCAGGAAAAGTTCACTAGATTCTGGGAATGGAGGGATGACTTCTGAGAAGAGGTGGAGTTGGCTGGGCCTATACTCATTGGATGTAGAAAGGTTGCTTCTCTTGTTTTCCCCTTGAGACTAGGACCAAAGAAAAAAGTCTTAGAATAAGGGGTCACCCTTTTAAGACAGATGAGGAGGAACTTCTCTCCAGGGATAGGGAATTTCTGAAATTCTTTATTGAAATGGGCTGTCGAGGCTCGGTCATTAAAAATCTGTTTGCACCTTGAACATACTTAATCAGTAAGAGACTCCAGGGTTATGGGGGAAAGGCAGGAAGGTGGAGTTGAGGATTTTCGGAGTGATCTCGTTGAATGGTGGAACAGAGTTGATGGGCTGAATGGTTTGCTTCTGCTCCTGCATCTTCAGCTGAAATTATTTTGTATCAATGACACTTTACTAATCTACAATATTTTAAAAAAACTGTTAAAATGTGCGTATTCTCCGTAAAAGTTCAGGTGCTGTGTTTAAGTATTGAGAATTTAATAGATTTGGAAATTAAGATATATCCGGAAAAGATATTGTAAATATTTAATGATGGATGTTTTGTGATAGGCATATTTAATTTTTTAAATTAAATTAGAACCCGTTGTCTGAGGTAATTTTCCCCTTCTGTCTTTTTTTTCAGTCCTACCTCTCAGGTACCAGAAGTCTGTCCCCTATGTCTGGATTGTTTGGATCTATTTGGACCCCACAGTGTGACCCTTACCAAAGCTTCTTCACATCTGATAACCCAGTCTCGCACACATTGGTGAATGAAAATCTGGAGTCAACTTATATCCAAGAGCAAACATCCAGTTTTGATCCTTTTGGCACTTACATGAACCTGCACATTTGGAATTCTTCCTGCAGTCCTGTTTGTAGTTCTCAGCTCTCTAGTGACTCGGATTATTATGGGGATATTTGAATTAGATTTTTTGTTAAACTAAAGGTGTGCATAAAAATAGTTCAAATCCTTTAAGAGTATTTAGGTGCATTAAATCTCTTTTATTTTTTTATGTTTTCTGATTTTATACAGAGGAAATTGCACTTAATAGGGAAAAAGAACACAAAATTTTTAATAAAACTTTTCCAAATAAAAGGACAAAAAATGAAACGGCTTGTGGCAAATGCATTTTTTCCTGCATCACAGATGCTGTCAATTTATGGTGCACACTTGTATTGCAGTGGTGTTTTGATTGTTAAAGCAGAATGAAGAAACTCAATGTTATTCACCAAGTTGGTCACTCACTGTTTGCAGTTAATTTCATTTTGGTTTAGTCTTTTATGTCACAAAGGATGCTATTTGACCCATTGTGCCTATACTGGTTCTTTGTGGGTCAGTCCACCTAGTCCTATTCCCATGTCTACCCCTATAGTCATAAAAATCATAGAATCCCTACAGTGCAGAAAGACCCATTCAGCCCATCGAGTCTGCACCGACCCTCCGAAGAGCATCCCACCCAGATCCAGCACCCCGACCCTAACCCCATAACCCCACATTTAGCATGGCTAACTCACCAAGAATGGACATCTCTGGGTACTATGGGGCAATTTAGCATGGCCAGTCTACCCTAACCTGCACATATTTGGACTGTGGGAGGAAACCCACAGAGAACGCGCAAACGCTGCAGTCAGTCACACCCAAGGCTGGAATTGAACCCAGGTCCCTGGCATGTCCCTGGCACTGAGGCAGCAGTACTAGCCACTGTGCTGCCCCACCCTACAGGATCATTTTCATCAAAGTCCATCCAATTTCCTTTTGAAATCATTTTCCTTGTTTTCCCCATCCTTATGGGCACTGAGCTTGTGTAATTAGCATATTGCTGTGTAGGTAGTTGCATTGGCAGGACCTTCTTGTCCTTTGAGTCCCAAGATGTCTAAATGAGTATTTTTGTCTAAACCATGAAGTGTAGCCATTATGAACCTCTGGGCCAGGGTTGCCAACCATGGTGAAAATGTTCCATGAGCTGTTGGTGGAAGTGAAATTTTGGAAAGCTGGCAGTGTGGTAAATGTGGGTTCTAAGGGAGCATGAGAGAAGAAAGCATTCAGGCCTCTATTGAACTCATTGGAAATGTTCATTTCACATTAGTTAAGATTTCCTGTATAATTTCTCACCAATTCACATAATAGTTTCATTTTTTCAATTAAAAAAAATCAGCTAGGACTAAAGTGTTCCTTTTTAAAGAATCGTAGAGTTACACCGCATGGAAATGGACCCTTTGGTCCAATTCATCCGTGCTGACCAGATATCCCAAATTAATCTTGTCCCATTTGCCAGTGTTTGGCCCATATCCCTCTAAACACTTCCTATTCATATACCCATCCAGTTGTCTTTTAAATGTTATAATTGTACCAGCCTCCTCCTCCTCCTCTGGCAGCTTGTTCCATACATGCACCACCCTCTATGTGAAAAAGTTGCCCCTCAAGTGCCTTCTAAATCTTTCCACTCTCCTCTACAACCTTGGCAGGAAAATGCCTTCTACAACTAACAGTGTACTTTTTAAGACTCAAACCTTTCAGATTCTCATTTTGAGTCACTTTGGGAGAGGAGATAAATTGGCAACAATTTTCTTGTGTGGTATAGGTGGATGACATATGGCTGTACCAGTTTACATTTTTATGTCCTGTTGCCAATATACGTCCAATCACTGTTTTACAGTGACCAGAATGGGTATTATGGATGGAAGGAAAGACTAAGAATGTAGTTCTGAGGAAGAGTTATACTGGACTTGAAACATTAACTTTGTCTCTTTCTCCGCAATCTAATGCCCAACCTTGGCCTCTTAGAGTGTGTGTGTGCGCACATGCAAGTGTTGTTCTGCATGTACTGTAGCTCCGTGACAGAGCTTGGGAAGTTTTGATCGTTGAACAGTTTCCCATTTGTTCAGTCCAACAGGAAGCTTCATGGATATTCTGTGGAGCGTTACGGTGTAGAATGTAGAGAAAAACATAATCTTGCTTGACCCTATTTTCCTTTTGTATTGGGACTGTTTCAGATCCATTTGTGAAGATCACGTATTGTATGCCACCATATAGTAGGTGGAAGATGGTGACATATTTCTGCAGGCAGCCAAATTTGAGGATGAAGCACCATAGCTCCTCTTGGTTGACAGTCAAGAGTTTCAATCAAAATCAAAGAGATCAAAAATGACCATGTGTAGAGTCTGCTGCTACTCCCTGCACTTTTCTCCAGCTGTCTTGCTGTGAAGATCATGTCCTTCCAACCTCGTGTGCTCCGCACCAAAGAATCCACTTTGTGATCTGGGAGAAACTGGTCAGCTATTAGGACGATTCTTGTAATGACCTTCCCTGTGATGGACCAAAGTTGCCACAGTTGGATTGGTTTCCAATGTTGAGAGACTGTTGCATCTCGGTGGGGCTGGGAATTGAGCCTCACTATTGTAGGATTCGTCACAAAAGTTAATATTGAAAAGTAATCTGCATCTCTTTAAGCTGATATTCTGTCACTTTCCTTGGTGTAATTCTGGTTTTCTCATTTTTTGTCAATTCCATTTTCCTTTCCTGATCTTTCTCCTCTTTGTCATTTTCTGCTATCTCTAATTACTTCATTCTTTCCTCATGCCCAAACTGCTTTAACCATTGCTGAATATCACCCGATTCTGATGTTTCACTATCTCAGGTTGTATTGTATTTCCTCTAAATCCAGGTGCCATGTTAGTACCTGAATTATGTCTGTTGTTTTAACTATGCCAGGGAATGTTATCTCCCCCTTACCAGCTAAGTCAATCAACTTGCTCTTTGAAATTTCCCTTAAGATTTCCAGGAGACCTCTGCCATTTTTGATGCCGTCCTTTAAAGGCAGTGCAAAACTTGGTGTTTTCTTCACCTGCTATTTACTAAATACCACACCTAAATCCTCATTGCCTCTGTTTCAAACCAGTTCCAGACAAAGCCCGTACACTTCACTGATTTAACGTGTTAGGAATCAAGCTCTGCTATTCCTGGAGTCGTCATCAATGTAATGGATTTCATAAGAGTATTTAGAATCCTCCAGTTTACCTGACTTTCAGATGCAGTTGATAGAAAGCATGGTCCAGGTTTCTGTACTGAACAAGAATTGTTGTTTAATACAAATAAGTAGACTCAAGCTATAGAAACAATTATGAACCATAAGTCTATAATTCTGCCAGTTAAAACTCTTTGTAAGACCCTTATAACAAGACTCCAGTATTGTGGCACCAGCATGTTAGGTAGTGTTTTGGTCTCCTGAACCTGTCCACTTCAGGCCCACTGTATCTTTTCTCCTTTCCTGTCTTTTTCTTTTTTCTTCATATGCTGATGTACTTGGGAAGCTAGAGCAGTGCTTGGTGGGTTGATGGCTGTGGTGGTGGCAGTGCCCAGAGCAAAGATTCCTGAAGCATAGACTCTTGGGTGGGGTTGGCATTGCTGTACCTGGAGCAGGGTCTCCTTGAGGCCTGGGACACCTTGCAGAAACTGTGCGGCCATGTTTGAAGACCCCATGTACATAGAGTTTATTTTATGTAATTTTTTTTATTCTTTTTGTAACTCAAAATTGCATTAGTGTGGTGATAAAACATTTTTCACTGTACCTTTCTCGATGTATGTGACAATAAATAATAACTCAAAAAACCCTGTTATTAATACACATGCAGACAAAGAAAAAAAAACACGCATTGTGGACAGAAGGAAAGTCTGGGAAGGTAGTTCCTGTTTGCAGGGTTTGCTGAGATGATTCTTATGCTGATCAGAATATTGTTTGTTGATCTTTAAGTGTGAAGAAAGGTCCCTGACAATCACTATAAAAATCAGTTTATGACAACTGCTGAAGAAACAATAGATTGGTTTTCTTCGTGGGTTTGATTGCAGAGAACAAAGACAGCTTTTGAGCTCCCACCTATCCCCTCCTCCCACCTCAAGCTGCACCCCCATCTCCTACCTACTAACCTCATCCCACCACCTTGACCTGTCTGTCCTCCCTGAACTGACCTACCCCCCACCTACACTCACCTTTTACTGGCTCCATCCCCGCCTCTTCGACCTGTTTGTTTCCTCTCCTCTATCCATCTTCTATCCGCCTCCCCCTCTCCCTATTTATTTCAGAACCCCCTTCCCCTCCCCCATTTCTGATGAAGGGTCTAGGCCCGAAACGTCAGCCTTTCTGCTCCTATGATGCTGCTTAGCCTGCTGTGTTCATCCAGCTCTGCACCTTGTTGTCTCGGATTCTCCAACATCTGCAGTTCCTACTATCTCGGCTTCTGAGCAGCTGGAGATGTGATATATTCTTCCCATCATGTTCACATCCTCCAGTTGTTTGGTTTCCAGCCAATCACATAGTTGTTGGTAGGGAGAAGGCCTCTGTCATCTAGTTCACAGACCAATGGACTATTTGTTGCTGTCTAAATTTCCATTTCTGCATAGCCCTTGGCTTCAGCTCATTTGCAAACCATCTACTACTGCTTGACCTGGCAGTTGTGTAAACTACTTATAACGAGCATCAAGTTACTTGCTTTCAAAAACTGCAGTAATCCTTCAGTTATCCTTGCTTTTTAAAACACTTCGCATTTCAATCCACATTTAAGAAAAAGGAAGTGCACAAATACATCTTGGAAATTCTCCTCCATGGTCTCCTCCTTCCAGATGAGGTCGCGTATACAGGACCAAATGCTTTTGTGCTGTATTTTAGTATTTTGACAGGGATCCTGTCTGCACAGTGGCTTAGTTTGGCTCTTAACTGTCTGATTACCTTTTCGACCTCTTGTCAAACTGGATTTATCTGCGATGGAGACTGGCTGTGGGATGGTAGATGGCGTGGAGTGCACTCGTGTCAAGGACTGCACCTTGATTGAGGACACCTAAGTGCTTCTTTCAATGAGCACTGCCTGCCTCTCTGTCCTGAGTGTCACTCTGATCTTATCTCTGGATTGGGTAGGTCCTTGGGAGCTTGGGTTGTAGATTGCCCTGAATGTGCTGGAACATCCATGCAGACCATGGCTAGCAGTGAGCTGTTCTATTTCCTATGCTCTTTCCACCCGCACCAGTTCTTTTTGTCATTAACACGGCTGTAGATGGGAAGCAGAAAGACGATGAAAAGGAAAATGGGAAAAGAAACCAATTCAAACAGTAGCTAATTT